GAATCATGGTAATAAATAAATAACCTTAAATATACATACTGGAATCTACAAAAAAGATGATGCTAAATGTAAAGGAACATAAACAATTGCCAACAAGTAATTAGGGGACTAAAATGAAATGCATTGAAAATAAAATGTGAAATGAAAAAAACAACATAAAATATAGGCAAACAGACATGAAAAACTAAATCAGAATACATAAAATTATAAAAAAATTCAAACATTCAAAATCTCAAATCAAGGACTAAATTGCATTGATTTTAAAATGAGAGGAGTCTTTACATAATCAACCTACGGAAGAAAAGAGACAAGCCCTAGATGTCAAAATGGTAGCGTTTCAATGCTGGCATATAAACCACTATAGGGATCAACCCAAACCCGCGCCGCTCATCTCCTAAGTAGTCCCATCTCCATTTCTCTCTTCCTCTTGAGAGATGGAAGATAACATGACCTACGACCGCTGTTACTCATCGTTGACAGTGGGCGAAATGACTCCCTAACCATCTCTTTGAACCTCACAACCCCCAAAATAAAATCTTACAAAACTTTAAACCCCAAATCGACCCAAAAGAGCCTTTCGATCCTATTTTCCCAACACTTTCCCTTTGAATCCCCAAATATCGATTTCTAGGTCTAGATCTAAATGGAGAAATTATTACTTTTGTGGTTTAGAGGTTTCTTTGTAATACCCCAAATTTTAGGCTAGTAGTTTCGGGTTTACTCGAGAGGTTTGTGGATCCCATGAGTTCATAATTAAAGTCGTTGGACTGAGTGTGAGCTTAATTGGGTTCAGTTGATCATAAAAAAGGGATTTTGGCATAGTAGGAAGATGAGGAGGACCGACAATGTAATTTTCCTATTTTAAAAAGATGAGAGCTTTATTTTCCTTCATCTTATTCTTTGATTTCATTCATTCTCATATAATTCTCTCATTTCCTCTCCAAGTGCCTAACTCAAAGGCATGTTCTTAAGCACCTTCATACTTCTTTTAACCTTCAAATTCATCCATAATCTCTCCAGCAATCTTGTTTTAAAGATTCAAGCTTTGGGTTATTATTTTGCTAGAAAAGTGGAGGTTTTATCATCCAAGTCTTAGAGGAGAGTGTTGGTTGGCTAAATGAGCTTCATTTAGGGTTCCTAACATTAATGTACTGTATTTATATTCTTTTGTGATGTTAAGTCTTTCATAAGCATAAGATTTGTTAAGAATTGAATATTTGAGCATTTAGGGTTTATGATTGATTTCATGATTAGACGATATTTTTGATATAAAACATGTGTTTTTATGGTACTTTATGACCCTAAGTAAATTTCTTAAGCTTTAGCACATGATTTGGAACCAAACCAAGACATTTGGATGATTTTGGGTGTTTCACAAGCTTAAATAAGACACTTATGGGTTCGAGTATTGATACTGGATGAATAATATTTTATACTATATGAACTGGGATGAATTATAGGTAGCTTTTGCAGGGAGTGTCGATATTGAGGGAAGAAGCATTGATACTACCCTTATGGTATCAATATTGGTATCCATACTTGCATCAATACTACTATCAATACCTGCATCTATACTAATATCAATACTGTCCAATACCTAAATATTCAAAACATCGCTCGTCGCATTCGAATGTCTCTAGATTGCTATAAAATGTACAATTAAGCTTGAAAAAGGGTTATGAAATGACTCAAATACCATTATGTGATGTAAATTACCAAAATACCCTTAATGATAAATAACTTTAAAAGTACCTTTAAAAGTGCAAGTGGCGAATGATCGCAAGTAAAGAATCATTGTGAAGTACATGTTTGCAAGTGAAGTGATATATTATATGGATAATGCGATAGAGAAATCGTGTATCATGTGAATATTGATAAAGCGATGACACATAAATCATCCCTCCAATTCAAGGGTGAATTGAGGGAAAACACGATGAGAGCGACTAGAGTATCACTACCCAAGTCAGGTATCAGGATAGTGAATAATAAACAAATGAACAACTGAATCAGTAATCATCATAAAATCATGAAACACATAAAGATCTCCTTAGAGACAAAATGAAAAAAGGCCCTTCAGTGTTAATGACCAAAATAGAATAGCTTACCAGACTAACAGATACAACTGAAAACTGTCGTTCTTATGTCAAATAAATTCTTTCTTCTCAATAATATATAAGAAAGAAATACGTAGTAAAGAGAAGTAAGGGTCGATCCACATGGTGTAACATCCTCAATATCGGGTTAGTGACTAAATTGAAAGATTTCAGAATTTGTTGGTTAAAGTAGATAATTTGAAAAGATCATTGACTTATATTGAGAATTTTGTATAGGATTAAATATCAAAGAAGGAGAAATGGAAGGGCAAAATGGTCATTGACCTATAAAATGAATAAAAAATGAATATGGGGGTTATATATGCACGTAGGAATGAAGGAAAAAGGGAAAAAGAAAGATCCAGAGAACTCTTTCTTCTTCTGCCGTGAAGTTGCAAGCAAAGCTAAGATTTCTTGTTATTTGATTTTTAGTTGAAATTAAGTTTGCTTTTTAGTCATTAGATGATACTTAAGCTTAAGGAAAGCTTAAGTTATCTTAAAACTATAAGATGAAGGAGTTGGAAGAGATTAAAGGTAATGAGTTTTTAAATGACATTTTAGGAAAGAGTTGATAAGTGGATTTTGGAACTAAAGTTGACTTGTCAATGGTTGAATTAAGAGATACGAAGTGTTAGAATTGGATTTAGAACATGTTGAAAATTGAGTTTAATTCTTGAATTCTATGTAGAGGATTAAATTTTGAAGTGAAGGATGTATTAAATGAGTATTAATGAGTTTAAGTATGAGTAGGTGAGTTAAGAATATGTGAAGGGAAGATATTTGAAGTGTTTGAGCTGAAAGGAAGTAATTTTCATGCTTAAAATGTGATTTCTAAGCAAGGGGTATCGATACCCATTCAACATGTACTGATACCTCAAGAGTAAAATTCAGGAAGATATTCAAGGGGTACCGATACCTTAAGGATTGTATCGATACCCCCTTGAAACGAAAAATTATCGAATGTAATTTGGGTATCGATACTTAGGTAGTGTATCGATACCCCAATTAAGAGATGTACCTATACCCTATAGTGGGTACCGATACCTCTTCAAAGAGAAATTGAGAATAAACTTTTCTTTTGGCTTAAGAATTAAGGATTTAATTATAATTATTGGAATGTATGATTATGTAGATATCGAGCACGAACAAGTTCCGGATCGATCGAAAGGTTAGAATTGATAGCAAGAGAAGTCAAGGTGAGTGCATACTAGAGATGTAGTTCAAAGGAATTATGACTTGTGATAAATCTATTCCTGTGTTAATATTTATAACATAGTTATTATGAGCATGCATACATGATGGTTATTATAAATATATGCATAAGTTGTATATGTTTATAGTATTTGTTAAATGCTATATGATTCATATGAATATATGTAAGTACACATGTTATATGATACGAGATAGATGATTTTATGTACATGTGCTATGTGATAAAAGAAAAGACATATGTGAGTACAAGAGAAATGATATGACTACATGAACATATGAATAATAACAATAATGCTCATGTTATGTGATATGAGAGCTAGGAGTATAGTTGGCATGCCAAGAGTCGGGGGTTTCATAGGTCCTTCGGGACATATACAGAGGTCCTTTGGGACAAATTTTACATGCCCCTAGTGGGACCCCATACGAGCTGTGGTGACAGTATAGTGCACAACCTCTATGTACTCACATACCTTAAGTTCTCAGTAATGTACATCGGCCTATAAGAGATATCAAATGTATTTACATGAGTATATGTTACCATATTATTATTGTTTATACTGTATCATATTTGTGACATGAAATGATTTATCATATGATTATTACATGAGTAATTATTTGCATGTTCATATTCATAGGAAATGCATTATTATATTTTATGCCTCACTAAGTCTATGACTTAGCGTGTAAGTATTTTTACACGTAGGTTCAGAGAAGCAAGAGGATCAAGAGTAGAATTTGCAGAGCAGCATAGTTCACTCGAAGATCAGATCAGAAATACTTAATAAAGTATGTATTTGTGTAATAGAAATATTGGTATGTACTCAAAGTTGTTAAGTTTTTAATGGAAGATGGAAATTTTCATGATTTCATATGATTTAAAGGTTTTGAATAGTTAATGTGACACCTTAGATTCTTATTCGGGTCGGGTACGGGTTGGGGGTGTTCCACATGGACTTAGAAAATTCCTAATTTTCAATTTCAATTGCCTTGACCAAGCGATATGCAATATATAAATGGGGTTGATAAAAAAGGAGTAAATAAGAAAAAAATAATTTAAAGTGGTAAGCAGTTTGATATCGCTTAAGCAAGATCTCAGGTTCGAGTCATTATGTATGCAAAATATCCCTACTAGGAGACTCACCTACCAAAACCAAGTGTGCGACCTGGGCCGGTCCAGATTAATCAGGACGAAGCCTTGGAACTGGAGGATAAAAAAAAATTTGCCCTTCGAATTACAAAACCTAATATCATGTATCGTCCGAAGGCGTCTTTAGATAATTTCATGTACAAGACACTTACATATATATGTGGGCAACCTTAGGAACACCAAGGTAATTTCAAGTATTAATTTAAATAATAAATTGTTTATATTGTTACAACGTTAGATTAAATTTGTATACCGATCATGAACTACATAGAAAGATAAATTTATATAGGTAAAATTTTATATATAAATAATTAAATTCTAACATCACAACATTTATAGTAAATCAAATTATTTAAAATAAAATCGAATAAATTTTAGTTTATATACATATATCTTACTGTAATAAATTTTAGTTTATATACATATATCTTATTGTAATGAATAAAATATAGTAATATTTTAGCCATATGAGTACGGCTGTTGGTGTATATATAAAAAGAAAGAAAAGTGGGTGAGGGAGGAAGATGAGAATTCTGAAAAGTTGAGAGATGGGCAATAGTTTAAGGTGTTTATTGGCTTGTGTTCTTCCTTGTGGAGCTTTAGACCTCATCCGTATAGTCCATTTAAACGGCCACGTCGAAGAAATCACGCGACCGGTCACCGCCGCCCAGATCCTCCACGCCAACCCTAATCACATCTTAACCAAACCCAGCTCTCAAGGTGTTGCAAGTAAAATTTTGATGTTCCTTACTAGCTGACGAGAAGAAAAAGAAGCACGTACGCCATAAAAAGTCTTTCGGCAAGATCAAAAAATGCGACCGTAATGAAGCTCGGATTCCGATCATCGTTCCCTACTAAACGCCAGAATTTCAGAAACGAAACGTTCAGGCCGCGGTCACAGAGATCGTCGGAACAGTCGTGAACGAGTATGGCAGCCTCATCTCGCTAGCCTCTCCGAGGACTAACAATTTTTTCCGGCTTCACAGATTCCATTTTGTGAATATAATTTACTTTTGCTTATTGGGTCAGCGTGTAAAAGTGGGGGATTCAAAAGGTGTAGTAAATATTTGATTGCCTCTGCGTCATTGACGTCCATAATCATTGGATATATTTTTTATTGCAACAATCACGATGAGCATAATTAGTTGAGAATTAATCATTTTATTATTTTAAATATTTATATGTTTCTGGCATAACATATAGATATTGGTTAAATCTTATATCCAACTTTAATTAATTAGTTGAACCAAATATAAAAATCATCAAATCTTTGTATGAAAACACATTAACTTCAACTCATTGAAGAATCCAAAAAAATTGAAAAATAATTAAATAACCGCATCATCTGTATTGTACAAACAATAGTACACATATAAATAGTAATAGTTGCAAAAACAAGCTGGAAAATCCTTTTATAATCACATGAAACTGCCTATATCTAGAGATTCCATAATCGAAGCTTAAAGCTTTGGCCATCAACTCCCGAATGGAAATTATTTGAACTGGAATCTGTATTAAATTAGAATTTTGTTGTTTCTTTACAGTTAATGATGCAAATATGGAGATGTTGTTGGGCCGTGTTCCGGACCTATAACTCACATGGGTTGTGTGGAATCCATCTATTACGCGAGACATGGCCCTGATCAAACTTCAACAGGGATTATCATTTTACCCAATTCCAATTTGGTTGAATTTTGTGAAAAAATAAAATTACATTATATTTTATATTTAAGATAAGACTATTTGATTTAATTTGAAATAATCATATAATCATTTTTTTTATATTTTTAAAGATAATTTTTATAATATAACTCTTTATTTTATCGAATAATAATAATATTTTTTGGTAAACTTCGTCAAATATCACTGAACTTTAAACATTGAATCATCCATATCGTTGGAATTTTAATTTTTTAAATTATTTCAAAACATTTTGATTCTCATTTTAATTATACTATTGAAACGTTAAATCATTAACGACGCGGTGACATGGTTGAAGTGATACACACCAAAATTGTTAAGAATAGAAGAGTTTATTGCTTGTTAGTTGGGTTAGTTTAGAGTTAATTATCTTTAGCAATTGGTTATCTTTAACCTTGTATTTAAATACATTTGTAATCTTATTCATTTTGGATAGGCTTAATGCAAAAATAAATATCTAAACTATATCCAAAATTAACTTTTGTTGTCTAAAAATTATTTTGTTAAAATATGTGTCCAACATTTTCTCCGTAACACATTTAGGTACTTATCGTTAAAAAAAACCGTTAAGTGAAACGTGTCACATTTATATTTTTTTTGATTTTTTTAAAATAAAATATTATTTAAAAAATATTTTTTTTAAATCTAAACATGACATGTGTCGCTTAACGGATTTTTGAACAGTAGACACTTAAAAGTGTAACGGATAAAACATTATACACCTATTTTAACAAAAATTTATTTAGACACCAAAAGTTAACTTTGAGTGTAGTTTGGACACTTATTTTTATATCAAGTCTTTTGGGTATAATAAGATGAAATATGTCCCACATACATCTTGTTAGTTTAACATGGTATTAGAGACCTTTGGTTTCACTTTCAAATTCCTATAACGTTTTGGGGTATTGTGTTTTGACTACTTGATCCCTCGTTAACAAATTATCTTCTTTTGTCCTTAACTGTAAAATTTCTTAAGAAATGTTATACAATATATCTCTCAATTTGTCTCATCTAAAAATTTTTGGTTATTTATGTTATGTCACTCCACCTAATCCACAAGATAAGTTTTCTCCCTGAGCGATTTCTTTTATTTTTATGGGTGTTCCAATACTAAAAAAAGATACTTATTGTTCAATTTATATACCAAATAATTTTTTTGTAAATCATTATTGTTACTTCCACGAGAATATATTTCCCTTTAAATTTTTTTCCGCTTTACTTTCATCTGAGTTTTTTGTTCTTAAGTTTACTACTTCATTCATTCTTTCTAATTTGGGATCACCACTTGCTAGTAGTTATTGTCATTCTTCACCAAATTTTATTTCTTTCATGTCTAATGATGGCTCTTCTGGTTTAGTAAGTATTTCTTCTCCTGAGTCTTTTGTTTCCGAATTGAATTTCATAAAGTTTACTAGAGTTTATAAGCCTTCTCATTGGTTACATAATTATGTTCTTTCTTGTCAATCTCCTACTTCTGAACAGTTTTCTCCTCCTCATAACATATCATATTCGCATCCTTTTTTACTTAATTGTTTCTTTTTAGAATTTCTACTTATTCTAAATCTCAATTATTCAAAGAAGCATCTAAAAATCTTGCTTGGGTTACTTCCATGAAGGAGGAGATTCAAGCTTTGAAATATAATGGTATTTGATATGTTGTTCTTCTATCTCCAGACAATATACCTATTGGTTGCAAATGGATATATCGAATCAAGACCATATTAGTTTTTAAGGGATATAATCAACAGAAAGATATAGATTTTATTGATACTTTTTCTCTTAATGTAAAGTTTGTCATTATTGATTTTATTCTTACTCTTACTTCTATGCGTGACTAACCTTTGTATCAAATGAACGTTCATAATATTTTTTTCAAGAAGATTTAAATGAAGAAGTGTACATGAAGCTATTAGATGGTTGTTGTTTTCGGTAAGACTCTCAAGTTTATAGGCTACTAAAATCAGTGACGAATCCAGAAATTTAAGAATGTAGTCTAAAATTTTAATATTTTTTCTTAAAAATAATGGATATGCAATTTTTTATTATTTTTCTTTATCATATTAAACTAAATTTCATCTTTTTCACTAAATAACGGTGATGCACTTGACCCCTATGGAGCTTAGTGCATTCTTCCCTCACTAAAATCACAATGGTATTTGAATATATCAGAAGCCCTGTCACATGTTGGATATGTCTAAAGTAAGCGTGATTATTTTCTACCTACAAGAAGACAAAAAATAAAATAGTTATTATGTTTATCTACGTTGATGACTTACTTCTTATTGAAAATGATGAAAGTGTTATCAATGAATTGAACAAAACCTTAAATTTACATTTTAGAATGAAGGCCTAAAAGAATTGAAGTATTTTCTTAATTTTGAAATTTGGAGATATAAATTAAGTTTGTTGACGTTCGAAGAAAATATGTCTTAGAATTAATAGAAGATATATGTTTGAGTGGAGCAAAGTCTGCAGCTACTCCCATGAAGAAGAACTTGAATCTAGTCACAACAGAGTTTGATAAGAGTTTACAATAGCAAAGAATCATTGCTAAAAAGGTTGATGAAGGACAAGAAATTGCGGTTATTGAATTTCTTGTTGAACAAAAAAAGATTATATCAAATGTTGATAGATAAATTCATTTACTTGACTCACACCAGGTCAGACATTATGTATGTTGTCAATTGTCTTAGTTTATGTATCAGCCTAAAAGGTCACATTTGGAAGCTATTTTGAAAGTTGAAGATATATCAAAAAAAAAGTCTAGAATATTCTTGATTAAAAATGATTAAAGTGTTATCAATGAATTGAAGAAAACCTTAAATTTACATTTTAGAATGAAGGCCTAAAAGAATTTAAGTATTTTCTTAGTTTTGAAATCTCGAGATATAAAGAAAGTTTGTTGATTAGTCGAAGAAAATGTGTTAGAATTAATAGAAGAAGTATGTTTGAGTAGACAAAGTTTGCAGCTACTCTCATAAAAAAGAACTTGAATCTAACCACAATAGAGTTTACAATAGCAAAGAACCATTGCTGAAAAGGTTGATGAAGGCCAAGAAAATGTGGTTATTGAATTTCTTGTAGAAGAAAAAGAGATTATATCAAAGGTTGATAGATAAATTCATTCACTTGACTCACACCAGATCAAACATTATGTATGTTGTCAATTGTCTTAGTTAGTTTATGTATCTGTCTAAAAGGTCACATTTGAAAGCTAATTTGAATGTTGAAGATATATCAAAAAAAAAGTTTAGACAAAGAATATTGTTAGCAGCAACATGAGATTGTTAACTTACAACACATTGTGCTACTAATTAGACTTTTTGTCCCTAGACCAGAAAATCTATTACTAGTTTCTGTAAAAATAAAAAAAAATTATTTAGTTTTGTAGAATTCAAAGAAACAAAAATATTATTTTGTATGTCTTTAGATGAAGTCAAATATAGAGGAACGGTTGTTACTACAGTAGAAATAGTCTGGTTAAGTGGCTTATTGGAAGAATTTGGATTGGACGAGTAACAATCTATAAAATTGTATTTGACAATAAATTAGCCTTGCAAATTGCTCCTTGTCAACGCACCTTTTCATCCTACTAGGATTCAAACTCCTAAAAATAGGATAGAATTTTGTTAGGATTCAAACTCCTAAAATAGAATAGAGTTCTACTATGATTTAAACTCTTAAAGATAGGATCCACAAGCACTATAAATAGTCATTGTAACTCACTATTGTAACAGACGATTTACACACAAAACATAGAGGAAAGCACAGGAAGATACAAAGGCAAAGCTATTGTAAAGGATTCGAAAAGGAAATAAAAGGTAGCATTTTCTTTTTTCTTTCTTTTGCATGTGCACGTTATTTTTCTTGAGATTTGGTTCGAATAACCCAAAACGTGGGTTGCGCCGATGACCAAAATGGGTAGGGTTTCGAAGTTTCGAACCTAGATCTACCCCGAGGCTTATTTTGAAAAACCGATTTGATTTTCGATTAAAGGAGGGGAAGAGCTTTTTAAAAATCTATATTAGTCCCTTTATTTATTATATGGATATTTTATTCATTTATTTTTATTATTTATGTTATTATTATTATATGTATATATATATATATATATTTCTTTAATATTCTACTTATAAGTCTATTATTACTATATATATTGTAATTATCTTTATCTAGTCATATATTTTTTATACTTTTAATGGTTGATTTATATACCTATTATTAATATATATATATTCTTAATTATTTTTATTTGATTATTTTTTTT